AGAATGCCTTTGAGAGGCGTCGGGAAAAACTCCGCCTTTTGGCGCCACAGTATTTGATGAGAATGCGAGTCCAGATCGTCGACATCGCCGTTAGTGATCAACTGTTTAACGGCGAGATCACCGCCGAGTCGTTGCTGCCAATAGCGGCTCATCGCCCGTCCGTTGCGGCAAAACATAGGCATCGGTTCGGCGCTAACTCTCAGGCCATTTGTTTTGCTAATGAGAATCGATAGGAAAGTCGGTATAAGAGTGGGCTCGCAGTCGTACACACGGGGCGGACGGGCCTTATGGACAATCTCGCGGAAGCGGCCGACGGTTTGTGCGTTTTGAACGTCAATATCACAGGCGTTAGTCGACTCGTCTTTCGACGATTTGGGGGCGCTTTCATTGAACTTTCTGAGCCTCAACTCCCGGTGCTCTGCGGACTCCGACTTGTAGTGATAGGTGTGCCTCTCGAAGCCGTACACGTGACTACAGTGACCGCTTCGGGACCGCGTGAACAGCAGATGACTCCACAACTGATCCGAATTCTGACAATTCCGCCGATTATTTGACAGTAAAGTGGTCTTCAATGGTATCAATAGAGGCTTTCGTAGAGTGCGGTCATAGGTATTGCCCTCAGACCACAACTCTCTGTAACAGATCTCTGATTTGGCGTTCATTTCGCGTAAAATTGATTTCCAGAAAACCAATAAATTAGCGAAAAATATTTCATTCAATTCACTGACAGTCAAACCCATTAAAGGCATAAATGAGAAACACTTGAATGGATTGTCGTCGGTGTCCGTGGGATCAGACAGCGAGTGGTGAATATAATCGGCGCTAAAAATGTTAAGCATTTTGCGGATCAGTTGACATTTGGCCGAATCGTATTCAAAGAAGTCGTGGCAGAGGCCGGACTCGAAGAGAGTGCGGGGCAGTACGTACTCGTCCGGACGCATGTGAAAGGGCGAGCGTACGTCCCGGCGCTCAAACAGATTGGGATGATTACACACTTTGCGGAACTGCATCACCAAATTCATGAGACTAGATGTGGCCGACGACTGGCCGCTGGAACCGCCGCCCGTCGCTGCGGTGGTGGCCATCAAGTCGTCAATCGATATCTTATTCTTGATGGCGCTGTAGAGCTGCCGCTGACGAGTGGTTAGTCCGCAATAGAGTTTGATCTCAATTTTATCCGACAATTCATTCTCGACATCCTTTTTGATTCGCCGCAACATAAATGGCTTCAAAATCATGTGCAGCCGCGACAAGTGCTTCTCGTCCATCGCTGTCTTATCCACGGCGTGACTCTCGATGTCCTTCGAGAACCACTCATTGAACTCTTCGTGCGAATCAAACATCGACGGCATTATGAAGTGGAGAAGCGCCCAGAGCTCGGCCATCGTGTTCTGGATGGGAGTGCCGGTCAGTAGGAGTCGATTGCGGCACTGGAACGACAACAGTGTCTTCCAGCGGGCGCTCGACGAACTCTTGATGGCCTGCGCCTCGTCTAACACCATATACAGCCATTTGATTCGCTGGAAGTACTTCACGTCCTGAACGATCAACTGATAACTGGTGACCAACACGTGAAACGGCGACTCCTCTCTGTGCAGATACTTCTGGTGCCACACTTTGCGCAACACTTTCCGGTCGTTAGGATTNTGCGCCTCGTCTAACACCATATACAGCCATTTGATTCGCTGGAAGTACTTCACGTCCTGAACGATCAACTGATAACTGGTGACCAACACGTGAAACGGCGACTCCTCTCTGTGCAGATACTTCTGGTGCCACACTTTGCGCAACACTTTCCGGTCGTTAGGATTACCCCAATAGGGAAGAACTTTGAATTTGGGCGCAAATCGGGTCACCTCTTGTTGCCAGTTGTGGAGCGTAGAGGCGGGCGCTATGATCAGGAATGGGCCCCAAATGTTGAGCCGCTCGGCCAGTGTGGCCATGAATGCGATGGTCTGCACAGTCTTTCCCAAACCCATTTCGTCGGCCAAAATACCGTTAATACCCCGATTGTAGAGATGGTATAACCAATTCATGCCTTTTATTTGATACGCTTTGAGAGCGCCGTCAAAGAGCTGGGGTTCGGACAGTTCCTCCTCTTCTTCGGCGGCCACAACGGAGGCGTCGGACAAATCGATGATCCGTTTGTCAGCTTTGAGGTCTGTGTCGAACGCGCTCTTCTCCTTGCGATAGGAGGCCAGTGCTGTCTCGGCGTTGCGAATGGCCTCCAGTTTCTGGGCGTCGGCGTCAAAATCGTCTTCGACGGCACCGCTGGACAACACAATCGGCTGCTCCTCTTCCAGTTGCTTAAGAATAGTGGTCTCGTCGTAGCTGGAAGTACTTCACGTCCTGAACGATCAACTGATAACTGGTGACCAACACGTGAAACGGCGACTCCTCTCTGTGCAGATACTTCTGGTGCCACACTTTGCGCAACACTTTCCGGTCGTTAGGATTCCCCCAATAAGGAAGTACTTTGAATTTGGGCGCAAATCGGGTCACCTCTTGTTGCCAGTTGTGGAGCGTAGAGGCGGGCGCTATGATCAGGAATGGGCCCCAAATGTTGAGCCGCTCGGCCAGTGTGGCCATGAAGGCGATGGTCTGCACAGTCTTTCCCAAACCCATTTCGTCGGCCAAAATACCGTTAATACCCCGATTGTAGAGATTGTATAACCAATTCATGCCTTTTATTTGATACGCTTTGAGCGCGCCGTCAAAGATCTGGGGTTCGGACAGTTCCTCCTCCTCTTCGGCGGCCACAACGGAGGCGTCGGACAAATCGATGATCCGTTTGTCGGCTTTGAGGTCAGTGTCGAACGCGCTCTTCTCCTTGCGATAGGAGGCCAGCGCTGTCTCGGCGTTGCGAATGGCCTCCAGTTTCTGGGCGTCGGCGTCAAAATCGTCTTCGACGGCACCGCTGGACAACACAATCGGCTGCTCCTCTTCCAGTTGCTTAAGAATAGTGGTCTCGTCGTCCGGATTGGACTGCTTTCGGCTCATGAAATGGGCGTAGAGTTCCGTTTGGGTGATCAAGAAGTTTAGCTTCCGTTGCTGTCGTTTGGCCTCCAGGAGCTCGATGTCGATCTTCATCTGTTCCTGAGCCTCGCGTTCGGCCCGTTTTCGATAGTCTTTCTCCACTTTGTCGAAGCGCTTCCAATACAAGAGCATCTCTTTGGTGAGCCGTTTGGCTCTGGAGTACTGGTCGCGACAGAACTGCTTTTGATGCGTTAGCGTTAGCTTTCGTTTCTCCCGTTGACACCAATTGGCCATCTTTTTGGCGCTATTCAGCGCCTCTTTGCGTACCGTTTGTTTCTGTTTGTGAGCCCTCGGGATCTCTTTGCGGGCGATCGCTATCCATAGCCGCCGGCGGCGCTGTGTTAGCAACTCTTCGTGATTGGCCGCCGCGCTGGCGCTCGACGCCTGCTGTCTCTTCTTAGCCGCGCGTTTCACCGACGCCTTCACCGCCGGTATTATCGGCGACGACGACGGACTCAACGACGTGGGAGTGGTCGGAGCGGTGGCCGACTTTATGCCCGTAAATTTAAGATCCGGACGCGTGGGCGTCGGCTGTGACAGTGTCTGCGACAGAACTGAACCGCACGACTCTTCCGTATCGAATATATCGTCGGGCAATACACTGGTCACCGGCGGCGAAGACTTTGCGAAACTACTGGACGCACCGCCACTGACGCCACCGGCGATGACGATAGACGGCGGCTCAACGTAAGGCAAAGTACTCGTGCTCTCTGTCTGTAGGATATCTTTGGGCAGTTGCGTGTCGTATGGGATGTCGTCTAAGATCTTCTCCGCTTTGATTGTTATTGGCTTTTCGATTGCGGCCAACAGTTCGGGTGTAGTATTGGTGGCAATGGGGGCGACGGTTGTGGTGATTGCGGGAGCGATAGTAGCACTGAAAGGTGCGGCGATTGCGGTGGTAATGGTTGGTGTGGTAATAGTTGGCGTATCAACAGGTGGTGTCACTTCAATCACGTTAATCACCGGCGGTTCGATGGGAACCACTGCTGGCGGTGGTGTTGGTGTCGGAACCGCTTTCGGCTTTTTCGCTTTGATGGCCGATTTGGTGGCCTTTTTGACCGAAGTCTTGTTGACGGCGGCGACGGCGCTCTGTTGAAGACTCGGCGTCGATATCAAACTCGTGCTGTAATTCTGGTACTGTCTGAGCGCCGGATCCGATTCAAATTCTTTGCGCGCCTTCTTCTGGAGCCTATGGTAGCGAAGCATCTCTCGTATGCATTCGTCGGACTTGCGCTCCGACTCCATGTCATCCATGTCTTTGCTATTGTGATCGTCGGCATCGCTTCCAGAGGAATCGCTTTTGTCGAGCAAAATGTTTTTCAACCACTTCTTGTTTTTCTTCACTTTACTTAAGTTATAAACTCTGGTCTTCACTGCCTTTGACTGTTGTTTAGAGATATTCGTATTGAGCTCTTCGTCCAAACTATACCACAA